TATTATATTAATTTTATATATATATTATATATATATTTATATAATATTTATTATAATATATTATATTAATTTTATATATATATTATATATATATTTATATAATATTTATTATAATATATTATATTAATTTTATATATATATTATATATATATTTATATAATATTTATTATAATATATTATATTAATTTTATATATATTATATATATATAATATATATATAAAATTTCCTATATAATTTCATAAAATTGTCTTTCTAAAATGTTCAGGTCGAAGCCCAGAACCGCGACGCCGAGGAGCATCCTGAGCAAAACGCAACCGGTGACAAGGGCCAGGTCCAGGGAGAAGTCGACGGTGAAGGAGGCCTCCTTGGAGGGCACGCCCTCGGGCAACCGGGTGTCGACGACGTTCCGTTCCGGGGCTGTTTCGGTGACCCCGCGCACCAGGACGAGACCAATCCCCGATTCACTGCCATCAGCGCTGACCACAGAGATCAACAAGGATCTGGCGCAGCGTGGAAGAGGTACCGGCGGCGGTTCTGGCAGCTGCAGGTCCCGAGGCGGATCCAGCACCAGAGGCGCCCGTACCCCTAGTTCTACACCGTCCGAGGAGGTCCGCAAGCCACTCGGCACTCCCAGGGTGCCTTACAACGGCCGCGGGGACTCGTCCCGAATCTCCAGGCCCGACAAGATGATGACAATGAGCGCAGACAATAAAGCGTTGGACACGTACGCCACCCTGCCAAGGAGGAACCGGAACAAGATTAGTATTCCCAAGGCCGGCGAGAAGACCGACAAACTGACCAGAAGCAGGTCGGGCAGCAGGGACGCCAGTTTGAGCAGGCAGGCCGAGAAGAAAGGCGGCGTCGGCAAGGAGTCGTCCGTTCACAAGAGCCTGCCGCCCTATCCGAGGCACAAGGTGGCCGAGAAGACTCGTATCTATCACGAGACCAGCGTGCAAACTGGTCTGACTGGTCAGGACATAGAGAACGCTTTGTCCGGCGTTCCGACGGTGGTCGCCGGCCCGGAAGTGGTCGAGAGACTGCACGAAGGGTGCCAGACGGAGGGCACGTGGGACGACATGCACACCATGCAGGGCGATCTGAAGAGGCTGACCGAAGAGACCAGCAGCCAGAAGCAGGAGAACGAGAAGCTCAAGGCCGAGATCACCGAGGTGAAGCGGCTGCTTGAAGAGGAGCAGGCGGACCATGCGTTTGCTAGGCAGGAGCTGGACAGGAACGCTCAGAGAGTACTTGCCATGCTTGGGACACCTCAGTCGGAACACGCGGGTACAATTCTCTACTTACAATTAGATTCTTAACCAATTAGATTCCTCGTTTATTATTCGTTTAACCGCGCCGTGTCGTTTCAGAGGGTAGCGACAGTTTCCTGGAGCTGGAGTGCCATTTACAGTCGTCGGGACAAGTTGTGGCTAATCAGCAGCTGGAAATAGCGGATCTTCAGTCATTGTGCCGCATGCTGAGCAGGGTAAGATCCCTCGACAAATAGTTAGTTAGTTATTTACTAGGCATTTAACCCATTCACTGCCAACTACGAGATGTCTCGCAGTGGGTGCTGCAAGTTTAGATTGGCTACAAATGGCTGTTTGAGTTAGGAACTATATGAAAGGATGAATGATAAATGTATATAGCGTAGAGAACATATTGATTGTCGATAAAAAAATACTGTAAATGCCATTGTAATATTATATCAGTATATATCATATATATCATATTATTATATATCATATATATCATATTATTATATTTTGTAAAACTTCATGTTTTCTTTAAAATGAAAAACCGTGGCACCCGGGGCAAGACGCGCTAATTTTTCATGACAGTCAATGGGTTAACATTCTTCGTATGGAACGGTTGAAAGAATATTCCGAGAAAATGATTCGAAAGACCGCTGTAATATTTAAAAAATTGCGCTTGTTCTGACAAGTGGCGCCGCTTACGACGAAATTCCGAAACAAAGCTGGGATCCGTACAACGCCAAATCACGTAATGGTAAAACGCTGAAACTGTGGTAGCCGAGTTACCGACTGCACATTTTCTCACTCGGGAACCGACCTGCTGAGCCGGTAGAGCTTAGAAAGAGCTCGGCACCACCAGTTGTCTGCTGACAAGGTTCCGCGTCCTCGTAGTAACTGGTAGCTTCTGCATGGCTTGGCATGCGGTTCGAGCGGTCCAACGGTTCGAGCGTTATGCCAATACGTGTTTTGGCGTTGTACGGAATTGTTGTTTTGTTTCGGGATTTCGCCGTAAGCAGCGCCACTTGTCGGAACAAGCGCAATTTCTTTAAATTTCACATCGGTCTTTTGAATCGTTTTCTCCGAATATTCTTTCAACCATTTGGATATCCATAAATACAGTGTGCCCCAAAAATGTCTCGTAATCCGGAAATGGTGGGTTCCTCGGATCATTTGAAGCAGCTTCTTCCTTTACAAAAATGTTCTCCGAGGCACCGTTAACGAGTTATCAACGAAAAACAGTGCGCCCGATCAGTGCACGCGATCCCCAGCTGCGCGCTGATTGGCTCCGCCGCCTCGCGCCAGCCGCGCTCGTTGGCTCGACGCCTCGCGCCAGCCGAGCTCGCCTCTCATTGGCGCACTATTTTTCGTTGATAACTCGTTAACGGTGCCTCGGAGAAAATTTTTGCAAAGGAAAAAGTTGCTTCGAATGACCCGAGGATGCCGCCACTTTCGGATTGCGAGAAATTTTTGGGACAAACTTACATTAAGAAGACACGATTAAAGATAGCTAACGTTACGTTTACTTGTTCAGGATTTGGAGAAGAGCCTGGCAGCCCAGAAAGCGTTGTTGCAGCAGCAACAGGAGCTGGAGGCGGAGTCGGCCGAGATGCAGGATTTCCTTCAAGAGGAGAAAGCTACTTTAGCGGAGGCTCTGAAGGAGGCAGAGACAGAGGTTAAATTCATTATTTTGTTATTTTGTCTAACGATAATGAAACATTTTATGATAAATGTGTTCATCGTGTCTGATACAATTCCGATGGGTTTTCCAGCTGTCCAAGAAGGAAGAGATGCTGACTAAGCGTGAGATGGAATTGGAAAGGCAAACGGAGGAATGCAAACACCTAGTTAGGATCAGCGAGCAACGAAGGTACGGGTTCGAACCAGGAAGACTCGACCGCGTGTCTTGACCGCAATTTTTTTTTAATCTTCTTGTTTCCAATACAGGCAAGAAAATTTATCCATGAGCATGAAACTGAACGCTGTCGAACGACGAAGCAGAGAACTGTTGCTCACGCAAGGCGCCGCAGTTTCCGGGGCTGCGGTCGCGCTTTCCGGTTTGGGAACTAGGTTAGAGGGATTGGTAGATCAGTTGATCACTTCCTACAATATCTCTGTAAAGGACCTCGAGGTAAACGCTCGCTTTCCACTGTAATACTTTATTGTTACCCTCCTCGAGCCGTTTAGCTATACCGTGTTCTCTCTTCAGGATGTAATATACCACAATGAAGCGTACAGTAGAAGCAATAGTAGCATCGAGTCCAGTCCTGTTAGCTCGAAACACAGCCTGAAAGAGTGCACTCCTAGTCCAAAGAGCGGTTCCTTCGTCTCCGCGGTGATCGGCGCGATTCGGAACGCGGCGACACATCCTTTCGCGACGAAAAACACCGACAAGAAGTCCTCGTTAGAGTCGGCGAAGCAAATTTACAGAGGTATACTATCCAAACTCGCTCGTTTAGCATTGGAAAAAAAGAATAAAAGGTGAAAAGTAGCTGAAGAAAGTTTAACAATAAAAATCATTTGCTTCCAAGAAGAATTAAGCATGGAGTCCTCGTCGGATCTGCTCGATTTCGAGACAGAACCTTGCTTGATGATGGAGAGCGTCCTGGAAGATGTTCCTCTGCCCGACACCTATTCGCACAACATGGTCTCGAGTAGCGACTCTCTACGCAGAGCTCTGAGCTTCCCGGAGACCGTCGACGAGAGCAATCTCAAAAAGACTCGCACCAACGACGAGTGTTCTAGCCTCACCAATCTCACGCAAGCGATTTTGCACCGTCGCAAGGTATACCTTTCAGATATCTTTAATATGTACAGGGTGTCCCAAAAATGTCTCGCAATCCGAAAGTGGCGGGTTCCTCGGGTTATTTGAAGCAACTTTTTCCTTTGCAAAAATTTTCTCCGAGGCACCGTTAACGAGTTATCAACGAAAAACAGTGCGCCAATGAGAGGCGAGCTCGGCTGGCGCGAGGCGACCGAGCCAATGAGCGGAACTGGGTCTCGCGCGCTCGTTGGCTCAGCGAGCTCGGCTGACGCGAGGCGGCGGAGCCAATCAGCGCGCAGCTGGGGATCGCGCACTTGTTAGTTCGACGAGCGCGGCTAGCGCGAGACAGCCGAGCCAATGAGCGGAACCGGGCTTCGCGCGCTGGTTGGCTGGGCCGCCTCGCGTCAGCCGTACTCGATTCTTATTGGCGCACTTTTTTTCGTTGATAACTCGTTAACGGTGCCTCGGAGAACATTTTTGTAAAGGAAGAAGCTGCTTCGAATGATCCGAGGAACCCGCCATTTCCAGATTGCGAGACATTTTCGGGACACTCTGTAGTAATATACGTACTCGTGTCCATTATTTATGTAACAAAGGGATTCTGTTTCTGTGCGAACCGGATATCAAATTAAGGTAAAAACCTTGTAGGTGGAGAACGAAGAGGACGACGATTGCGACTCGATCAGCGAATCCGACACCGGCACCAACGATGGTCCGCTGGCTTCGGATTACTGTCCCGCGGTCGGTCTCGTTGATCAAGTAATTGACGTGGACAATCTGCTGACAAAATTGCTGAAGGTGTTGCGGATCATTCAGCTCGACAACGACACCTGCATTCAGGAACTGAAAGAGGAAAAGTATGCTCGCGTTTCACATTCTCTTCCACGTATCGCAGTAATGTCTCCCTAACTGGCGCTCAGATTACAGTAATGTCTCCCTTACTGACGCTCAGATTATAGTAATGTCCCGTTACTGACGCTCAGATTGTCCACTAAAATGGATAATTTGGAAAGAGGAGATACGATTATTCGTATCTTTCTTATAGTTGTTGACAATTCGTAACTATAAAAACGAGCCGCAAGGCTCGAATAATCGTATCTCCTCTTCCCAAATTGTCCATTCTTTTTTTTTTGGACAAGCTGAGCGTCAATTAGAGAGACATTACTGTATTCGCCGTACAAATCTAAGCTAAGATCGTCGGCATGCTCTCGGTAGTTATTTTTCAACGCGAAACCGCGAAGCGACAAATTACAGAGTATCGTTTGCAGGTCCGATCTGGAGACGAAATTGGAGGTGACCGTCACCGAGTTGGAGGAGATGCGCAAGATAGTGGATAACCTGCATCAGTCCGACGAGATTCTGAGCAACTCATCGGACAGGCGTCGCAGCGTGATGGAGAACTGTCGACTTCTGTTCAAAGAGGTAATTGCCGGTGACGTTACCGACACATATCTGTAACATGCTTCACGGCGCGCGTCGTTTTTTTCTTGAGCCACCGTTATTTTGACGAGCAATCGACTGTTTCAACAAGATGTCAAATGGAATAATTCCCCTATAGGCGGTTAAGGAGGAATTAAATTTTCACGAGTCCGCAGTCGCTAATAATAGCGGTCCCGGGGAACCGGGAGACTACGAAGATCTCAACGCTAACGCAGCGGCTCAACTTCCTTCCTAAAGCACGCGTGTGTGTGTGTGTTTTCCATCTGATTATTACTATTGAATCACAGTTTATCGGCGACGTGCGAAATGGCTGGCGAGCCTATCGCGTACAATAACGAATTACGGCATCCGTGGGGCTCGGAAAGACGTTGTTTGCCCCAGTCTACTATTTTATACAGGATGACGAAAACGACATGTATAAATGTTTCGGGCCGACGTCGAGGACGGAAGGTGACGTCGAAGAGGAGGGAACAATATTATGAGAACAATCACCACGCTGTAAACTCTAAAAAACAAATAGTGCCATTTTAAAAACCGTTCGTTCGTGTTCATCGTCAAAAGAAATATCTTCAATCGGAGATCCGTGTAACATTTCTCTTCTCTTCTTCGACATTTCCTTCCGTCGTCGACTCACTAACAGAAATACTTTTGTGATTCGCGTGCGAGGAAACAAACACTGTTTCATTTAGCATGGACAAACGTGCACGATAATTTGTCGCAACGGGCTCCAGGATGCGATAGTCCGCCATTGGCCGTGTGTTATCGTTTGCACAACCGTGCGTCGGTGTTCTATGATGAATTTTATCGACAGAGAAAAACACGTATTATTTCTCTCTCGCCGAGCGATGCCATTGGTGATTAGTCGGAGCGACATTAGTCGACGAGCTATTATTATAATAAAATATGTTTCCGCGTGTGTCGAAGTCGTGTACAGCTTTCTTCGTTCGGTCGTGTAGCCAAACTATACTCGTGCGCTTCAGTATTTCTCCTCGTCGAGTCGCGTTTCATGTATATAACCGTAAACAAAACCTCCCCCTACCCCGTATGATTTCGACGCTGAATCGATGACCAGTCTAGAGTTACCGCGAACCTTGCCTGCCGGCGTTCTATTGTTCAGCCGAGATCGTTACTTCGACCCGCACCACGGTTCGGATCACTATCGTTTCTCGTCTAGCGTAATTTATTGTTAAGGGTTTAGACGTTAACCGCGCTCTAGAATTAATTCGCGGTTGAGAGAATTCGCTTCGAGTGTAACCGACGAACCAAGGAATTTACTTAAAAACTCGTAGCTCTAACGAATCGACTCTTCTCATATGCCCACCGAGAGCACCGACCAGATTGTGCTTCTAAACGAACGTAATTCCCTCGCGAGAGTGGTCGAAATTCCTCCGCGACAGCGAAAACGGATTTACACAGATCTCGGTCCACCTTGAAGGACAACAAAACACTCTATTCACGAAAAAAAGCTTCACTTCCTCGTTCGAGTATTGACGAAACAAAAAAGGATGACAAAAAATATATAAATAAATAAACGGAACACTTTTAACGTGAGACACAGGGTATATATTAGTTTTACGGCACAACGTTGCATCGCGAGCGTACGGACTCATGCTATTCCTGGCAGAACATACCCGATATATTAACCCTTTGCGCTCGAGTGGCGACTGCTAGAAATCTTGTATCTCGTTGCAAAATAATTTTAATGTCATCAGAGCTTAAATTTAAACAATTGTCAATGGCGTAACCGTTGTATGAATCGCAGGATTCAATTTCATGTGCGTAAAATGCGCTTTGTCGTGTAAAATGGAAATGCTATAGATCAGAAAAATTGTTTCAGTTTTTCAATTGAAATTGCTTCGAGTGCAAAGGGTTAAAAATAACGCTGCGACCACCGGATAAGACGAATTAAATATGTTCCCGACGTTTTCTATTGTAATCGTTGAGATTATACAAATCTTTTGAATTCTTGTAATTTAAATTCGCACCGTATTGCGTTGACGAAAGGCTTTTTGTTCTTGTATTATATTTTGCATTATCATTGCAATCGTTCGATATTGCTGAACGGGTTTGCCGTCTGCCAGGGGTTGTACAAGACACAAATGTACAAGAAACGAATTTCATTGTTCGTCGAATATCGTTTGATCCGTTGTTTGTCGCAGTTGTTCTAACAAAAAAATCCTCGATATTTAAAAAGAAAAAATTAAGCAAGAACGATCTTTTCCGTTGAGAACGAAATTTTAACGATGGATGGACACAGGCTGACTCCGACGACTCGAGGACGAGTCTTTCGGGTGTAAAGAATACAGAAGGTGTGAACAACACATTACACAGAGCTACTTTCTATTTTAAATGGTGAGATATATTTCAAAAAACATATTCTTGTACTCGCTTCCATGATTCACAATTGATCCGTCAAGTTGTAAGTTCAGGACATTGTATATATATACATATATATATAAATGACCATTTGTAAACACCTTATTTACTATTTCACTGCGTTCCCGTTATGAAGAAAAAAGAAAAACAAACTGAATTTTTCGCCCCCCTTTTTCGTTGGAGTACACGTTATTTACTATATATATATATATATATATCAACCGTATCTGTAATGTCCGTGTGAAAAAGTGATGATCGTTTTGTCTCTCTCTCTCCTCTCTCTCTCCTTGATTTTCTTTTTGTTCTTTTTAAGAATAAACGATTCCACCCAGACAATGTAAATTCTGAGGAGCATAGTCCTAAGCATTTTTTATACAAAGTATTGTGATGATATACCAAAAAGAATTCATGAATAATGTATTTTAATTTCTAATCAAATAAATTTCGTTTCGATAACAACAGATTGTGTATTATGTTCCCGAGTGTGTGTGTGTGTGTGTGTGTGTGTGTGTGTGCGCGTGTGTGTGTGAGCGCGCGTGTGTGTGCGTGTGTGTGTAAAGCAAATTGTAACTGTTTCGCACTACAGTAAGTGTCTCCCTAATTGACGCTCAGATCGACCACGAAAATGGGCAATTTGGGAAGAGGTGGATACGATTAATTCGAGCCTTGCGGTTTATTTTTATAGTTATAAAAAATTGTCCACAATTATAAAAATAAGCCGCGAGACTCAAATAATCGTGTCTCCTATTCCCAAATTATTCATTTTAGTGGACAATCCGAGCGTCAGTAAGGGAGACATTGCTGTAATCTGAGCGTCACTAAGGGAGACATTGCTGTAATCTGAGCGTCAGTAAGGGAGACATTGCTGTACCGCGTTTCCCAAACACTTTTCACCAACTAATGAGAAAAAGTACTACACGATTATGCGGAAGCTAATGAGTAGACCGTGGACATTTCTCATTAACCTCTTGCCGTACCATTTTTTTTTTTATAATTACAATGATTAGAACACTTTTGATCGCAATGATTTCTTCGAAGAGAACGAAACATTGTATTCACTGTCTGATTGCATCTACACTTGAATGTTTAAATATCGGTAATAATATTGGGTTGGCAACTAAGTAATTGCCGATTTCAGTTATAGATGTCTCTCACTCTCATTTTTATGATATCCGTAAATGTTATATTATAAAATTATTATTATTATTATTATTATGTTATTTTTCATTATCCGTGAATGTTAGCAACTGGACAAATTGAATGCAACGGTCAAGGAAAAGCGACCAGAATTGGTCGATCGTAAAGGTGTCATTTTCCAGCAGGACAATGCTAGGCCGCACACGTCTTTGTCCACTCGGCAAAAATTGATGGATATTGATTGGGAATCGATGTTACCCATATAGCCCTGATCTCGCGCCATCGAATTACCACTTATTTCGATCCCTGGACAACTCCCTTCGTGGTAAAACTTTTAACGATGACGACGCTGTAAAATCTCACTTAACCCAGTTTTTGGCCGAAAACGATCAGACTTTCTACGAGCGTGGAATTTTCAAGTTGTCAGAGAGATGGCAAAAAGGTCATCGAACAAAATGGAAAATACATTACAGATTAAACTTCGTTCCAAGTAAAAACAAATTTTTATTTCATTGAACAAATCGGCAATTACTCAGTTGCCAACCCAATAGAATGGAATTCGATTCCTATCAGCTTATTACTAGAAATCTCCGCCACGAGTTCGATCCGTTGAAGTACGGCAAAGGGTTAAATACACAATTCCAAATCCATAGTCTATTAACGATGAATCGATGGAACCTTATATTCTATCCTGTCTGTATAAAATCTTCACTCCTGACGGATCCGCTGCAAGAACGGGGCCAATAAATTCGTCAAACGTGTCCCGGCCCTGTAACAAAGACCTCCGTTAACTTAATCACACCATTACGAAATTAGATTCTATTAAATTAATCACCATTTACAACGTGTAATAATAAGCGCATTTGAAATTCCCGGGCTTACCGCGAGCCCGAGCGCGCCGCCCTGGCGGCAGAAACCGAAACGAGCCTGGCGATAACTCGAGCCTCGAGAGAAGAGTCAAGATCTTCGATTTATCGCAATTTCGTACAACGGTTAAATAAGTGCGTAATCTTCAACTTGAAAAAGCACGAAGAGTACAGAAATTCAGTTGTCAAGTATTCCATCGATCGAATGCAAAACAATATCAAGAATAGGAATAAATCAAAAAATTTATATATTTACAGACTATAAACAAATTAGCGCGAACGCTGTTTTCAAGCAGCAAGAACGAAGGAATGGATTAACTTTAGCACCCTTTGGATTCGAATCTCCGACGTAAATCGGAGAAATAAATTCTATTCTATTCTATTCTATTCTATTCTATTCTATTCTATTATATTATATTATTATTATATTATAATTATATTATATTATATTATAAATTTAAGTTCTATTAAATAATAAATAAATTCTATTAAATTTCAATTTGAATTTGCGCAAGTTTTCGCAGCTCGGCCGAGGCGGACGAAGAAAAAAAATGAATATCTCGCAGGATTGTTATGCAAATGGAAATACCTGGTCGCTGTCTTGGGCGATGGCAGAGGTTTCTGCTCGGTTTCCGGTTTGCTGGGGGTCGGCTTGGCCAGGTTAGAGAGCGACAGGTTGGGCCTGTCGCCAGCGGCGGCGGCGCTGGCCAGAAGAAGCGCCTCGACGGGCGCGATCACGACCACGACGCCGCCCACGTGAACACGATAATTTTCGCCCCCTTCCTGCCGTTGATCGTAATGATCGGCCACCGAGGTGGAATCGGGGAACGGGGTCGTTTGATCCACGGTCGACGTCTCGTTCGCGAGCGGAAGGCACTCGCCCCTGTTCGAGAGCAGCGCGACCAGCAGCAGCGCTGTCTTGAAGACCCTCATGTTGATCGATGACATCGATGCGCGTTGCGATTATCGACGTAGATATCTATCGAGACTTCTTCTACTTCTTCCTCTTCTTCTATAACGTCCGACTTCCGTTCCTTCCGTTCCGTTACAGAAGCGTCGTGTTATTATTCTCTTACCGAGAATAATTCAGGACCGACGGCGATTTAAGGCGACGTTGCGACAATACGATACGTCGCTCGATGACCGCTCGATGAGGAACGAGAAAAAAACAGGGGCTCCCGGCGAGCAACGGACGTCCTGACGATGCGGAGGATCGGCGAGATGTGACGTCTCCTCGCCGACCGGCGATCCCGGTCCCCACCTGGCACGGAAACAGATCGTCGGGCAAGTTCAAGAACCCGTGGCCCACGCTGCTGCGTGTACGTTCTCTTGCATACGTAGCGGCGTGGAGCGTAATCTCTTCGAATCGATATTTTTTACAAGCCCAACAAGACGTTGAGATCTTACTCGACGGGGATGCGACGCATGATCGGCACGATATATCGTGTTTCACCGTTGATCCGTGAATCTTCTATCGTGCAACTATGCGGTCGCGTGGGCTATTATTAGGAGAGATGAGAGGAAGCATGTTTTGCAAGTGTACGCGAACCTCTACGAGGTTATGTACATACTTTCGAACATACGCGGTCCTCTGTAAGATAGGTTCGAACGCCCTATAAGCATGTATGTGCTTCGGCGAAGACAACTGGTTACAGAATTTTCATTTTCAAGATTTGGATGCTATTTATAAAAGGCTCGAAGCTACGTCGAACTACTTTTAAGTACTTTTAAGTACCTTTTTATAACCTGGAAATTCTCACATCAGGGTTCGATATACACTAGCATAAAATGAATACATTTTTTGGAGAGGGAGGGGGCTAGTAATCGGAACCAATGAAACGAAACTTGGTTATTTAAGTTTACTCGTGAGTATGTATTGAACTAATTATTCGTACGTTTAACCCTTTGCGCTCTGAGGCGCCGCTAAGAATTGCTATACTATTTTTCTGAATTATTGTAACGGTATAAGGTTCGTTAATAATTTAAAAAACCGTTGAAATTGCAGGTATTCTACTTACCAACAGGCTCGATTTCATACGAATAAATCGTATTAAATCGTACAAAATGGAAATATCGTCGATCAGAGAACATGTTTTGGATCTCGAATTAAAATAGCCTCGACAACAACGATTACAACGATTTTTTGCTGTTTGACAAAGTGTATAATATTCACTACATATAAGTATATATATTAATATTATTATAATATAAATATAATATAATAATAAATAATATAATATAATAAATATAATATAAATATATATTTATATATTATAATATAAATATAATATTCACTCTACAAAACCGTGCTAATCGTCTTTTTGAGTAATTTAATTTTTTCATTACTTTTGATGCTTAGAAATGGAATATCCAGGAGGTAAAAAGCAACGTTTTTGGACACCTACTCTCTCTTCTTCGTTTTTCATCGAGGCCAAGAAGCTGCTGAAGCAGCCCGGGACATCTGCAACGTATACGGAGAAGAAAAAAAATGGTTTGCGAAGTACAAAAATGGCGATTTCGACGTCGACGACGCGCCTCCGCAGCGGGAAGACCTTCTGAATTCGACGAAGAGCGTCTCGAAGCACTTTTGACGGAGGACTGTCGCCATACAAGTCGTGAATTGGCCGAAGAAATGAACTGCGATCGTAAAACGATTCTCGAGCGTCTTCGTTCAATGGGATTTACCGATGGTAGCCTGGATGCCTCGCGAGCTTAATGAAAACAACAACAAAGAAAATCGCCTTCGAATAACTTAATAAAAACGCTACGAACTTATTCCCCAATCCAATAAATGAAAAACGGAGAGAACGCGTTCAAGCTGACCGGTTTTTTATCGGCCAAAGGTGGCGTGTCGAACGCGATAAGGACGCGCGCGCGAGAACGCGTCGGCGTGTAAATGCGAGAGCGTGTACCGCGGTACCCACACGTGAACGAAACCGATTTGTAAAAGGGCAACGGCCTCGTATGGCCCCGCCGAGTTCATTTCCCCGTTCCTCTGTCTCTCACAGTCGCCGGCCTATTACCGTAACCTTGCCCTTGCTCTCGCATTTCCGCCACGCTCGAACGTTCCTCGAACCCGTCGTCGTCTTCCTGGTTCGGGCGGCGCCTCCCTACTCCCGGCTCGACGAACGTAATAGAAAACCGATGAACTTGAACCGATTCGCACCGCAAAAAAAACCGCAGAGATCGTTGTTCATTTTTATATAAAAATTTTATTTATAGTCCGTCGCAGAAGGCTATGTTATTCGAAGGAAAGGAAAGAAACATGTTCACATTTTACCAGAATCCATTTCTCTAGTCGTAAGTGAAAACAAATAAATTTAATCGCATCTCCAAACGAACGTACAGATGTAGTTTTTCATTCGATTTATTTCTGTTTTACAGTACAATACGAAAGAGCAACGCCGCGTGTGACATAAATAATGAAAGTGTGAAAATGAGTCGCCCACCAGTGCAGAAACTTTGAGCGGTCGTAATTAGCGTTCAATTGTCATTCTATGATCTAACAGCACCATTTTATATACTCAGTGTATATATCACAATAGTATAATATAATATAATATATATTATATTATAATATAATAATAATATAATATAATATATATTATATTATAATATAATAATAATATAATATAATATAATATAATCTATATTATATTATATTACATTATATTATTGTGAAATTATACTATTGTATAACTATACTATTATAATATAATATATATTATATTATATAATAATATAATATAATTTCACATAATCACAATAATATAATAATAATATGTATCTCTGGATCACTAGACACCAGGCTGGTCGAGACGTACGCGTACCGCTGACCTTGACGTAGGCGTCGCCGTAGCGGTACATGTTTACAAAACACGGAGAGCTCGACGATTATATCTACCACCAGAGAATCGTGCGATCAAGAAGAGAAAACGAGAGGGACGTGAACCGAAGATCTCAATAAAAATCTTTGTCCTCCTGGCAAGTGCCGGACTTGTCCCTGTATCTGCCTGGCCCGCAGTTCTCGACGCCGTCGCCGAGCAACACCAGCTCGTCGCGTTTATTGCTCAGCTCGTTTCGTTCGTCGGACAAGCCTGACGGTTCCTCTTCTTCCTTTGTGGACAACTGTTTCTTCAGCGAGATCCCGGGCCTGGCCGCTTCGGTCGCCTCCTCCTTCGCCGCGAGATCGTCGGCCTGCGCGAGGTCGTCCACCATTGAACCCACGCGGACCTTCTTGCTCCGCGGACCGTCGATCAATTCACGGCTCTTCTGGTTCCTGGGCCCCGTCTTCGACGCCTTGACGCCGACGGATATCTCCGGACCGTCCTTCTGGGCCTTCGGCGACTCTTTCGCCGTGCCGGTCACCTCGTCCTCAGTTACCGCCGCGGTAACATCGTCTTTCTGTATGCGGACTATCTCCACGTGGTAGGGCTCCCTGCCCTCCTCCCTTTCCTCGGTCTCGTGTACCATGGCCTCCGACGGTTTCTCGGGCGCCTCATGTTTTATGACGTTGCTTCTGCCGATCAACGCCAGCGAGCCCAGGTCCGTCGCCACCTCGCTTGTCAACTTATTCAGCCAAGATTTGTCTATCGAATCCAACACCAGGATTACGAAGTTATCCCATTTCGTGTCCACGTTCACATCGCCGTTCTGCCGTTGGTTGTAGCTAGCTGGCGCTGCCTCTATGCCGGCCAACGATCCGCTCAGTACGCCTGCAAAGATATGTAAACAATAACCTAGAATCGGGCATTGTTTGCAGTTTCTATATGACAACTTATTTAGCCGAATGTTATTGGTGAAATTATTCTACGTTAACCGAGTTGCATAGATAAATGATTCTCTTCTTAATTGTTTTATTATTTCTTGATTTAGCTAAGACCAATATAACATTGGCATTGTTTCCGATTTGCTCAATCTATTTAGTTCTCAATTTTATGCAGGCACGAAGGAGACGTCAAGGTCGACGGGGTTGAAGAAGATGGCGAAACCAGAAAACGCGGAGAAAATTATGACAACGGCGTACCTGACAGTAAGAGCAAGCTTGCTAGGGGCATCGTTTAGTCGAATATTACCGTGAAATTATTCTACGTTAGCCGAGTTGCATGGACAAATGATTCTCTTCTTAATTGTTTCGTTATTTCTTGATTTGGCTACGACCAATATAACATTGACATTGTTTCCGATTTGTTCAATTTATTTAGTTCTCAATTTTATGCAGGCATGAAGAAGACGCCAAGGTCGACGGAGTTGAAGAAGATGGCGAAACCAGAAAACGCGGAGAAAATTATGACAACGGCGTACCTGACAGTAAGAGCAAGCTTGCTAGGGGCACCATTTCGCCGTAGCTTCCCGGATCAGCTCGGATCGGCTGAGCTGAGCGAAGTCAGATCCTCGACTGTGGGAGATCCGTCGTCCGCTTCCTTGGCGGCCGCGGATCGCCACGTATATGGATCGAGGGAGCATCACTCTGCTGGAGAGGGTAACAAGGCTCGCGTGGTCGCCGATTGACTTAGCCGGTTAACGAGTCCCATCCACCAAGACGGGTTACGTAATTGCCCGATATTTTTATCCGTTTTCTTGCTAGCGCAAGGATGAGAAAGGGTCGCCGCCGTCTATTTTTCCCAGGATCTCGGAACTGTCGCCTCGTCGATTCACGGACCCTCTGAACGAAACTCGAGAAATCACTACCCAGCGATTAGATAACAACTTGGAGACTCGAGATTAGCTCTTGTCTGTCGACAGACTACCACGATAAAGATCCAGAAGTTGTAATTATATTTTTGTCCCCCGAGTTCAAGGTGTTCGCAAAAGCATTGTTCGAGACTTGGAAAATTTTTGCTTGCGAACATCACACGCATCGGTAACGCTGTATCTTTCTTTTGCAGGCGCACGGTATAATGGAGGATCAAGAAGGAAACACAGAGCGTAATAGAATATGTCAGAGAAAAGTTTATTGCACCGTCCCTACAAGTTTGCAAGACATGCCGTTTGCCCGCCTTATTTACAATGATAACGTTTCACCGCGGGACTATGCACGTGTGTGCAAAGCATATGGGAGCATCGAGCATACGCATGGTTTGAGCGAACGAGGAACATGAGCTCGTCCGTAGAAATTGCGCGCGGTTCCTGCCGAATATTCGTGGCACGTTCCAGTCCGATCGGCATCCTATGACGGCACATGCTTCCCACTGCGCACCAGGCTGTCCAGAAGTTTCGGCACAAGCTTCATTGCGATTCTGGGGAACAGAGAGTGCAAATGAAAATCATCATGGCCATTGCTCCGACAAATGAAACAGTCGATTCTACCGTATGTTCTTCAACGCAATATTCTTCAAGCTGTTCTGTTGGCTCATAAATAATTCTCATGGTATTCGTGCTGGTTACAGCATGCCCAAAGGAACAGAATGAATTATGTAGTCGGTACTCACGGTATTAGAGACAGTCGCTGGTTTCTCATCTGATTGCAACGACGTTCCGCATCGTGCGAGAGACCGGATCGGCACCGCTTCTTCATTCTGGTTGGGCTCGCTTGAGAAGAGGATTCCGAACGTTCCTCGTCCACAGATGTATTTCCGGGCTTCGTGGTCTCGTCGACAGAGTTCTCCATCTTTTCGGTAGCCGCTTCGGTACTCGTCGTGGAAGATTCGCTCGCATCTTCGTCAGCGGTGGAGTTCGACACTGAAGCCTCGTTAGGAAGACCCGAGTTCTGAGCAGAATCGAGCGGCTCTATGACCTCAGGTTTCGCAGTGGTTTCCGAGGGCGAAGCAGCTGTCGAAGTCTCCGGGGGCTTGGTCGGCTGCGAGCTTGTCGGCTTCACCGTGAAGTCGGCGTAATCGTAAAAGTAGTCGTACTCCTGTAAGCCGTTGATAGAAGACAAGAATCGTAAACGTGGAAACGAAAATTACCGTTTCTTTCTATTCTTCGAAATCAATGGATAGCGTTACCGCTATGCAATCTCGGAGAATTTAAATAAACGATGCGGCCCCTGCTAGCTGCAATCCGAGCGACACGAGAGTCTAAACGGTCGGGCGCAGCGTCGAAGCCCCGCGAAATATTTAGCCGCAATTTTCTCGATATAATTTGCCCTTAGCGCAAAGTCGACGATACATAGTCGTAAGTAAAATCTCGCCGCATTTGAACGCGGTTTTTTCATTTATTTTTTTAAAGTTAATAATCGCTATCGTTCACGAATAACAGACGAATAAACAAAGGCTGCGCAAAAATTGACACGAGGAAACGGATGGAAGTCGACGGTTCGAAGACGAAGCACGCTGGAACGAAGAGGAAGCGAAAGGAGGGCAATCAAATGGAAAGAACATCGCTGTCGCTACCCGGCCACCGAGCAGAGAAAACGAACTGAAACGATAATAGTTTACGTTATCGGCGAGCGCCGTCGCTGACAGTCGTGTTACCGTGTAATCGTCAAGCAACTCCTTGTCCAACAGTGCAATGATTTGCAGGTCCTTCCAGTGGACCTGGACGTTCAGTTCGCCGGTCTGACGTTGATCGTAAGTGGCCGGCGCGGAGAGGCTGGCCAGCACGTGATAAATTAGCACGAGGAGGAGGCTGGGACGCGACAGCATGATGACAGGCCCAAACTCTCTTCTCTCCCTTGGAAAAATGCGCGAGGACCGTCGACAGGACACAGACTGACCGCGGTGGCCGTGAGGTGGTGCTCCAGCGATGGTCTTCCTTGATATAGTGGACACCGAGCCGGGAAACCGGTATTCTTCGCCGTTGGAACGGTCATGGGTGCCTCCTCGAGTCCGCCGCTGCCCGGACATTGGCCCCACCGATACACCATGAACTGGCTTACTACTGTCTACTACACATTCCCATCGGTTCCCGTCAGTCGATTCTGATTTAAATGCTGAGACGTCGACCCTGACACGCGAGGATCATTTCGGATGAACCCCGAAACCCGCAGCTCTTGGACGTAACTGTACACGGAAGAAGATTTTTCGAGGAGGCGTAAAAGCACCTTCGAAACCGTGTCACACATCGTCGCCCGAAGACATAGCACCTGTGTTACGTAATTTAGTGTTGCTAGATGGTGTTATCGAGCGTTCCTGTTTAATTACGTGCGAAAAACTACAGGTACAATTGAGCCGTTTATTTTGAAAGTGGCATAAGTCACTTTGTTTTTAAGTCGATACATTTAAGGGTTTATTTAAGGGTTATTATTATTATTATTATTATTATTATTATTATTATAAGGGTATATTTAAGGGTTTAACACGTTTAAAAATATGGATGCTAACTTTCGAGAAGATTCACTTGTATTTGTTATCTCAGGATAATGATATTTTTCTCGGTATAAATAATTTCGTATAAACATTAAGAAAATCACCACTTTTCATTACGGTAAAGTGACTTATGCCACTTTCAAAATAAACGGCTCGATTATGCACTACACGACTATGCTTTATCGTTTCGAAAGGTGTTCCAAAGTCATGCTAACTAGGTCCACGCCGCTCGAACTGTCGCCTAGGAGCAGGATAGTTTGTTTCGAAAAAGAAAAAAAACAGCCATTGCGTATTCACGGCATTCGTGCAAACATTTATAGTCCGAACTGATTTTATTGTCTGCCTCGGGTCGCTACCCCCTCCACTTCGCGGCTCCGACATTCTCAGCTTCCACATTTTCTCAACTTCTCGTTAATGCATGCGTATTATTATTATTATTAATATCTTAGAATTCAACGAGATCTTTCTAACGATTAGTTTGCATCTCATCGACAAGCGTTCCACGATGGTGTTAAATTGAAAATCGAAATCCTCGACGTTAATTACAACGTTGATGGATCGTAGGTCTCGAAACTGTACATACAATTCGTGAGAAATGCGACTGCCCCCCCCCCCCTCTCCTAAATGGCGTATCGTAGCACAAACGATCGTACGTATAGCGAATCTATTTTCTTCGATAAATTTTGTATTTCGAGTCGAGAACTCGGGTAGATCGATTTCCAACAAGGCTACGGTTTGAACGTGTCGAAAAGAGTGAAAATCGGGCGAAGTAACAACGGCGAGACGAGAATCGGTTAAAAATGGTAATTGATGATGCTCGATGTACGCGAGATGCGCCATCGAGATTTCTCTGCAGTCGTGTCGTTGCGAAAGCGCTTAGAATAATCGCGTTTCAGACGGTAATGCGTTCCACGAAAAGCTTTTACATATCTATGATTTCAGCAAATTATAAACGATCGATTGCGCAAACACGTTGTGTCGGATGTTTTGATGATCGGTCGCTTATCTTTTCTTACTCCGTGTGCCCCCCGTCTCACTCTCTCTCTCTCTCTCTCTCTTTCTCTCTCTCTCTCTCGAATGGAGCGAGAAAAAAAAAAGGAAGAAAATTCCCACGGAATCGGCCGCATCCGACTATCCGTGCAACGAATGTACCCGAATGGCAGGCGGTGATGACATTAACGATGCCTCGGTGAAATGTCATGTGCTGTGTGTGCGCGCGATCAAGGAAGTTCAACCGTGTCGTTTTCCTAATTCAGTGTTCGGTGCCGTGGCCGAATCGTAGCATTCATAGGCGACTCAGAATTTTCTCACCCGCCGCGAGAATCGGTCCTCGCGCGTCACCGTTTTAAACATCATCTCCGTCGCCGATCGCGTTGCATCGCGTCGCTTATCATGTTTCCTTCTGGCGTGAACAATGTTTCCATTTTTTAAGAAGTCTGGTAAATATCCGCTCCTCGGCTAAAGCCCGAAACCGTTGTTGTTTGACGTTCCTAGCCCTCTTTGGCCGTGTCGCACCTAACCTGTACCGCGAAAATACTTCTCTGCTCCGTAGGCAAAACAATTATAGGAAAACTGTCAGTCCAGGTCTGGATGATCGAGATCTGTGAATCGGCATGTTGTAGTCTCGAGAAAAAGAAAATGTAGTTTCTTCTGTGCGAAATAAAAGTGCGATCGAGCAAAGATTTACTTTCTGGGTATAAGACAAATTAAATATAAGTGAAATAATTTTAGTTCAATGGATTAGTTTGAGCAAACATAATTTTGTTTGATATCGGAGCGAAAGAGATACACCGTTCCAATCTGCACACGTTTCTCAATGGTTGTTTCGTTATTTCAGGGCAAAGAGACTGGCTCAGATCTTTGCAAGCTTCCCCCACAAAACCGACGAGTTCTGGGAATTTCTTTGGTCATGTATTTAACGGAGGTTCGTCCGTTCAAACATCAACAGGTGTACTGTGCAGCTTTGAGGAGGAAGAGGAAGATCAAACTTTCAATGGGGACGACGCGTGGTGCTTCAGCTCGCAACTTTCTAAGACTCTTCCACAGATCCTCGCGGATAAAGGTGCTTTAGGTTACTTCATTCAGTTTATGGAGACAAGGAACTGTTTAGCGCTTATTAAGTTCTGGTTGGAAGTGGAGTGCTTGTGTAGTTCGGTTAACATAGAAGAGACTAGGAAGGAGGACGTTGGGTCGATAGATTACACGGAGAATGATAATAGTCTTTCTAATACAGTGGACGACAATAAAAATTTCCACTGTCAGGTGACTCAGAATAATGGTAATGAAGTTGATAACACGTTGTTCAGTGAGTATGTAAATAATAATGATAAGAAATCAAATTGCAACGATATGCCAAAGACTAGTCAAACTATAAGCAGAACTGGACAATCGAATTACAACTGCAAGAGACGAGACATGACAAGGCAGGATGCGTTAAGAATTTATAAGAAGTATATCACGAAAGATGCGTTGGGCATAAATCAAATTCCCGAAGATTTGAAGGCGGAGATGGAGAAAGCTTTGGCTTCCGAAAATATTGAGCCTATGTTGCAGTGCCTATCAGCTGTTCAAGAAATCGTATACAATATATTAGAAAACGAGTAAGTGCATGGTTCGAAGCGCATACAAATTGTCACGAAACGGACAATTAAAATTTTAACGTTACCACTTTCAGGCACATCAACGACTTCTCGAGAAGCGAATATAACTGCAAACATCAAATTGATGTTCTTACAAGCGGCAATGTCCAGTTGACAGACATACTATACAATGAAACTGCGTTCTTTTACTTTATGGAGGTAATAATCCCTTGCGTATTTACTTCTGTTTTATAAATATATATCTGTAATGAATCAGATTACGTTTTAGTTCATGGAACTCGAAAATAAACGAGAGCTGCTGGACTTTTGGATGTCTGCTATCAACTACAAGCAGAACTTGTTGGAAAAGAAGAGTGCCGCAAATCCCGAGGAAGCCCAGTCCGATGCATTGATCATTTATGATAAATATTTTAGTCTGCAAGCGACGAAGTCACTTGGTTTCAGTGATATAATCCGATTTCAAGTAGAAGACAATATATGTCACGAGGATGGGGAGGGACCACGACCAGACTGTTTTGATAAGCCCTGTAAAATTGTATATAATTTTTTGAATAAGGTACAAAATCAAACCCTGATGTTACGCAGGATATTAGAACTTTAATTTAAGATCGGTAATTCGAGACTCATAAAGACCCTGATAGAGATTGCAACGCCATATTGAGATAACATTGTACTTTTTCCAGCATTATCTACCTACTTTCTTATCATCACAGTTATATTACAAATACTTGTCGGAGTTGATCAATACCATACAAAGCAGTCCATGCTCGAGTATGCACGCTAGGATAAAAAGAGCAGGTTTGTATGTTTTTATTATACAAACTCTATTTATCTTCGTTATAATAACAACAATTATCTTTATGATATTCCGATAATTGTTAGGTTCGGATTGCAGCAGCGTAAGTTCCATTAGTATTAATATGCAAAGTACCCTGCAGGCAGGGAATGAAGGGAGGTCGACAAATAGCAAAGGATCCATCGGCGGTGGCATGAACATCGACACCAGGCAACTTTACGATCCGGATTCCCTATGGAAACGTAATAAATATAGGTAATATTAGAGTATCAGAGAATCTTGTTTGACGAACATTTCGACATTCTGTTTTGTTTTTCAGTTTGAGCGTGGGTTATATCGATGCCTTAGGAAGGTTTATAACCGAAATAGAACCGGATCCTCAAAGAAAATGTGGTAAGATCTTCGAGACACAATTATATTTTGTTAATGTTTCACTTTAAATAACTGTACTAATTAAACGAAAAACAATTTTAGAATCGCGCTTAGCACGTGTTGTAAAAAGACTTGTAAATATGGACAATGATAAGGTGAGTTATCTTTTAGTTGAGGTGTGATTTTTCGTCGAAAATAAAATGCGCTATCTGCTGCGATTGTTTTAACGAACAATCTATTATGCAGGCATATACCGTTAAATGCATTGAATTAATTAAATATATTTTGGTAACTTACCTTGAAACTCTAACGAATCGATATGATTAGGCTAAAGAAGAATTAGCGTGGAAGATTGCCGAGATGATTGTTCGTGAAATAACATCATTGACCCTGGGAGCCTCGAATTTTTCATCTTGATGACGGAAACTGCGTTGCGAGGATATCAATTTGTTTCTTTTTTTCCAAACGATATACTTCACGCTTCGAACGGACGAAGGTAATTATATTATTTAACAGATGAATATTTTGCTTTTTTCAATCGCGAATACTTTGCCAAAGTGCCAAAACGAACGAGACGAATAATGTTTTATTACATTCTAAGAACGAAATTCAGAGAGAGAGAGAACATGGTTTGCGTTCATGTTTGTCAATTATCGTAATTTTTATCGCTGATGTATTCTTCTTGTGTACGTTATATATGAACGATCCGTGCATTTATGTTGAGTCTATTATAAGATTACAATTGTGATCAGCATAGAATTAATAAGTACAGATATATTAATCTTTTTTTGAATTCGAGCTCTGGTTACAAGATCATCGTAAATGTCGTTGTCAAGTATTTGATATAGTTTCGTATTATAAATTAAACATATTGTACCATTTCGTTTGCTGAACGGATGAAATACCGCGCGACTTATCGAAGTAGCATACATTTTTTTTTTTATCCGAAGGTGATCTTTTTTCTACTGCTTTTTACTTTGATGAGATTAAATGCGCTGTCTTCTTTTCGCCGGAGATGATATTAACGATGAACAAAGCCTATTGCTTTTTGTTCGATAATTATGTTAATTTTTCGATCGTCCGACTGCCAAGTACTTCTCGCAATTTAAGTTTTTTTTATGCTGTGTCGTGTAACTTTCTTCTCGGGGAATAATGTTTTTCACTTTACAAAAATCTAGAAAAAGACTAAAAAAAAGACAATTTTGCTACCAACGAATAAACCAGTGACGAAGTTTAGGACATATCGGCATCGCCTAAGATGCGATTAGAGTGCGTTATTATGTATGTGGCTCAATATTCAGGAGAGTAAAATTCATTGTAACTGTAAGAATCATTAACCTGCTATGCCACACTTAGGGTAAATTCAACCCCAAAGAATTTAGTAAAATAATCGTATTGGTTTTTTACTAACAGAAGTATATTGCTTCCATTTTAATCCAATTGTGTCCCTTGCGATCGAGAGAAGCACTTTTCATTTATCGTTAGAAAAGTAAAACATTTACCTAACAGATTTACAAGCGAAAGTTGTTCGACTCAGAGGGGAAATTCTTCCATATAATCCTTACACATTAGACATATACGTATATAGCATCTTGGCAGTATTTATTCTAATTTACTCTAGAATAGACCATGTAAGTAATGTAAAAAAGGAGTGTGGTATGTCCGTGTTGTTACTGTATAGTTACAGAATCTTTATACACGATCAGTCTTATAATGTTAGTATTAGTAGTTAGTAACTTAGCTTTACGCAAAGATTATTTTATGGAAATTCAATCTATTTTTAAACAGCGACTTTTGAAAGAGGAAAACGAATGACATATATCCTAAGTGAACCAATTTAAATTTAAGCGTGTAAACTATGAGAAACAGTTCGTGACTAATATTAAATTGTTAGTCGATAACGTTGAAATCGTTGTACATTATCGTTCTTCTAGCATCAAAGCAAGCGAATGACAGTAATATTGGATTGGTCTGTAAATAACTTCAACTTTCAATATTTATTTCAATTCGATATATTTTTCAACGCAATAGATATATCAAAATGTTTCTGTTATTATTTAATTAAATTATACCACGTCAGAAGTTATTTATGACGCAGTCCAATAATTTAACAGTTAAGCTTTATTGTTTCCTTTTATTGTTGCGTACACTTTCATTATGCTTGTCGTGTTCAAAATGAAAAAACTGTCTTCGTATTTCTACTGAGTAATTTTTTGGTGCTATGAAGAGAGGGAGGGAAATACAAAGTGAGCTAATTGATCGAAAATTAAGTAGTCTTGTAAAAAGAACATATATGTAAACAATGTCCTCGGAATGTCTTTAAAACACTTATCACTACTAGCGTTGTATATAAGAATTTTTTTATCAAGCGGAGGAATGTTGTACGAATACAAGTCTGTTAATCAAAACACGAAACGAAAGGAGAAGTTGAGGAGATATCTGTTTCGAGATTCAACGTGCACTATTTTCTGAGATAGACATATTTTTTTAGAGGTGCTCCTTACTCACTGTAACAAAAGTGATGATCGATTTTTCAATTGTGATGCCCGTTATATTTATATAATGTATGTTATATACATGTATATATATATCCATATATATATATACATATATATATATCCGTACAAACTGAGTGCTCCGCGTTGAATAGTTTGTAATTTGTGAAACAGCAATGCCTCAGCCTAAAACATACTAGNGAATAATGTTTTTCACTTTACAAAAATCTAGAAAAAGACTAAAAAAAAGACAATTTTGCTACCAACGAATAAACCAGTGACGAAGTTTAGGACATATCGGCATCGCCTAAGATGCGATTAGAGTGCGTTATTATGTATGTGGCTCAATATTCAGGAGAGTAAAATTCATTGTAACTGTAAGAATCATTAACCTGCTATGCCACACTTAGGGTAAATTCAACCCCAAAGAATTTAGTAAAATAATCGTATTGGTTTTTTACTAACAGAAGTATATTGCTTCCATTTTAATCCAATTGTGTCCCTTGCGATCGAGAGAAGCACTTTTCATTTATCGTTAGAAAAGTAAAACATTTACCTAACAGATTTACAAGCGAAAGTTGTTCGACTCAGAGGGGAAATTCTTCCATATAATCCTTACACATTAGACATATACGTATATAGCATCTTGGCAGTATTTATTCTAATTTACTCTAGAATAGACCATGTAAGTAATGTAAAAAAGGAGTGTGGTATGTCCGTGTTGTTACTGTATAGTTACAGAATCTTTATACACGATCAGTCTTATAATGTTAGTATTAGTAGTTAGTAACTTAGCTTTACGCAAAGATTATTTTATGGAAATTCAATCTATTTTTAAACAGCGACTTTTGAAAGAGGAAAACGAATGACATATATCCTAAGTGAACCAATTTAAATTTAAGCGTGTAAACTATGAGAAACAGTTCGTGACTAATATTAAATTGTTAGTCGATAACGTTGAAATCGTTGTACATTATCGTTCTTCTAGCATCAAAGCAAGCGAATGACAGTAATATTGGATTGGTCTGTAAATAACTTCAACTTTCAATATTTATTTCAATTCGATATATTTTTCAACGCAATAGATATATCAAAATGTTTCTGTTATTATTTAATTAAATTATACCACGTCAGAAGTTATTTATGACGCAGTCCAATAATTTAACAGTTAAGCTTTATTGTTTCCTTTTATTGTTGCGTACACTTTCATTATGCTTGTCGTGTTCAAAATGAAAAAACTGTCTTCGTATTTCTACTGAGTAATTTTTTGGTGCTATGAAGAGAGGGAGGGAAATACAAAGTGAGCTAATTGATCGAAAATTAAGTAGTCTTGTAAAAAGAACATATATGTAAACAATGTCCTCGGAATGTCTTTAAAACACTTATTGCTACTAGCGTTGTATATAAGAATTTTTTTATCAAGCGGAGGAATGTTGTACGAATACAAGTCTGTTAATCAAAACACGAAACGAAAGGAGAAGTTGAGGAGATATCTGTTTCGAGATTCAACGTGCACTATTTTCTGAGATAGACATATTTTTTTAGAGGTGCTCCTTACTCACTGTAACAAAAGTGATGATCGATTTTTCAATTGTGATGCCCGTTATATTTATATAATGTATGTTATATACATGTATATATATATCCATATATATATATACATATATATATATCCGTACAAACTGAGTGCTCCGCGTTGAATAGTTTGTAATTTGTGAAACAGCAATGCCTCAGCCTAAAACATACTAGATGTACAAAACAAGAAAAGAAGTTAAACTGATTAAACGATAGTATTACGTATACATGTTCTTCTTACATTTGTAAAAAATAAAGCCTCTCGTATATGCAACAAGTAACAAACGTGCTCGCCGAAAAGAGCACTTCCAGCTTTAGAGTGATTAAAATATTTCGCCCATAAAGCTCCATACCGAGTATTATCTCTAGATCAATCTACTTTCTAGTAATGCACTTCTGAGAAATCGTTAAATACTCCTTACGATTATAAAAAAGTTACGTAAAAAAATTGGTTGCATCATATGCATTGCAACAACTTTTGCGTTTACGTATTTACAAAATGCCCCAGGATTTTCAGATCAAAGTATCTTGGTATGTTTCATGATTCGAGGAAGTTCATTATTAGCTGCGTAGGACAAGAAATATTTAATAATTATCTTTATTACAGCACGCGATAGTCAGCCTTGCATCGAAAAGGCATTGGACAATGCTAATGTCTCTGCAACTATTGTTATGTTTATTTCTATTCGTAAAACATACTGGCGATGCTTTATCAGAAGATCTCGAGATAATTCGTATATTATATAATCTAGCGTTGTTCTCGTTCAATTTGTTCATATAGTAAGCCACCGATTGAGCACATTAGAAAAATATAATTCCATTTAAAAAAACAGTAGGCAAAGGTGGTCAATGGATACGGTTTATCACAGTTTTTAAAATGAAGACGATCCATTTATGCTCGTATGGGGAGGACAGCCAAATTTCGGATCCAATAATGGCGACGATTCTGTTAATCGCATGCCAACGTCCCCTTTTGTGATCTGGCTTTTGAAGTTGCCAATCTTCTGACAACACTCTAGTCGAAACTTCTCCCTTTTGCCCCATCTCTTGTACACGAGCGCGTTGAAAAACGCTTGGAGAGGATTAGTTACAGCCTGTCGATTAAAAGTCTCGATTAATTAAATTCGACAGAATAGAATCGCGAGATATACATACCATTATATACCACAAAGTTATAATAGCTTTGATCGGCAGCTGGAACCACAAGGTCCACAGTAAGATTCCGTTGATCAAATTCGGCAACCAGCACACGTAATACGCTACATTGGTCAACGCGAACTTCAGCCTTATCGTTTGCACCAGTTTTCTTTCCCTGCCTGTTATTTGAGCCAAACTACATGTGACTGCAGTCTGAAGATCTCGTGTCGACGCGAAATACAATACAGGATTAACGATCATAACTACTGCTAATAATACATAGGTAGCACAATAGTTCGGTAATATGCGTAATATGGCAGTGGACAAAGAAGTCAAGTTGTGGCAGCTGGAAACAAACGAGTTAATTCAGTCCCCCGAAAGTTCGTAACAATATTGTTAGCTTCAGAAATAATAAAAATACTTTTATTATTTATCAGAAAACAGAAAAGACTTACTTTGCATCTGGAATGTATAAAATTGCTAAACCGAACGTCGTGAGAATTGCAGGACATATCCATGCGAATGCATGGTAACAGGTGGGATGACCGGATCTATCCCCAAGCAATAACTTCATGTCTATCGCGTAACATAGCGTCCAGATCCATGTTGCCATGTAAAAGTACTGAGTCCAAGCCTACAAATGCATGTTGCAGGTGCTAATTACAATGGAAAGACTGTAAGCTAACTCGTTGCTATAATCTTTTAATAGAACTGACCGACGACAGTGCACAGAAAACAACGCTGGAAGTATCATCCTCCATCGGCATTATCGATTTGAAGTTCATCCAAAGTACCGATCTTATAAAAACGCCTAGAAATAAATGTAGAACATTCATATAATCTCTGTTAAAAAAGGTACGCGTAAAGACGAAGCGAGAACAGCTTGGATGGGATTAATATTTACAAAGACTTGGCGGAACGTAGCATTCGGAGAGTATGTTGCATACCTAACGAGGCGAGAAAATCAGCAATAGCGAGCCATATAATGATTTCTCGACCTCTGGATGAAGAGAAACCTTGCCATCGATGAGGCAGACTGGACGTTTCCCTTGGCAATATCTGCAAATTAATTGTTTCAATCTCTTTGACAAACAAAATAGGTTGGAAACGAAACTTTTGCTTACCTGGTACACTGCACCCAGGATCCCTATCATAGACGAAACCATGCACACGATGTTGTAAGCATCGGTGTTGAATTCTTGCATGACAAAGATCGCCATGTCCGTTCTGTTCGAGTGATGACAACAGAATGTTTGTATCGTTGGATCGGCCATATTATGTCTGGATTCGGTTTCTCGGGCATTGATCGAAGGGACGATAAGAAAAAAAACTATCGGTGATAAGATACTGTATACTTAATTCGTAGATTGTCTCACGTCTTAGGTACGGTCACGCGAAACTGCGCCGCCGGTTCACCTTTGATCCAACGTCGTTCTACGATGATCCATGCAACGAATTAACGACACCTCGCTCATTTTTTATCTCAAAACGAAGCCGTACGAGGCTTCTGGCGCATATGCGTCTGTCCCGTCGCCATGCTTATTGCCTATTCAGGGCGCCTCGCACTGTTCTCACTGCCATCTGAACTTGCTGCAAACTTGGGCGAACTAAAATTCAATATGGCGGTTTAGAAGCGGTAATTCAAATTCGGAATTCTAGGGTCACGTCGGTGTATCTGCTGTACAGATTTCGTTGCACAAATGATATTATCTAGAGATGCGTAGCTGCTTGATAAAGAAAAGATGGAGCCACCGGCGTTTTCTATTAGAAATAAAAAAGAAACGCGTGCAAATAGAAATATTGATCGAGAAATGCAGTGACATTTTCTTACAACTTTCGAACCAAAACAGTTTTTGATTGATTGAAAGAAATTCGATTTAATAACTAACCGATCGGCGCTAAATTCAAATTTTTGGAATCGTAGTGTGCCGTCAATTGGTATCGATTTTTCTATTACTCCGTCGGTAATTTTGTTGCAGCAGTTTGTGTGTCTCGACGTTACGCGTAGCGGCGTTGTACATATTTAGATTTTACAGATCAGATGATTCTTGCCGGTATTTACATTGCTTCTTATGACAAACGCGGCAAGAATCATTCGCGCAAAATCAAAAGAAATATTATCTCACAACACGTAGTCGTTACTAAATAATCTCACTTTTGTTTTCTTATAAATTCGACTGGGAAAAGTTACTCCTAACGATCGACTACTTATTTAAATTAGTACATAATACTAATAGCACATCTAATGATATTCAAAATTATTCGCAGCTTTTGAAATCCTTTTCCTGGACACGTTAGTTGATTTAAATAAATCAAAAATTGAACAAAACTTGGAAACAGGAAATAGAGTGCTTTTTTGGAAAAAGTAAAACGGCTAAGAGAATTGTAAAAATGGGGAATAAATCGAGGCAATGTATAGGTTGTATGTCGTTTATTTATTTAATCGATCTGATCGCGGTATAGTTTCTTCATTCATTATACTTCGTCTTCCATAAGTTAATTACAAGTATTTCATCATCGTCTAGAATCTAAAAGGGTATAGGGTAAAGTTTGCCATTTTTTTTCCTTTTCTTTATAGGTATTTCACAGTATTGACTCTATTACATACGCTAAATCAGATTGGCTAAAGTGTCCTCGTATCTACAAATATATCTTGTATTTCTCCCATATACATATACATATATACACATATATACAGAATCCGTATATGTGCATATCTATATATACATATATTTGTCTCTCGCGACGCGGTCCCCCATCCCCCCACCCCCCAGAAATCCTCGTGAAATTGATTCCCAGGGTGCACAATCCGACTTACGGTTCCGCTCGTTTCATCCGCACCCCAGCCCCCCCCCGGTTCCGCCCCCGATTTTTTGTTACTTTTCTTTCGTTTAACGCGCGGCTTTTGTTCGTCCGGGAACAGAGAGGTTCGTTCCACGCTGTCGAAGGAACGCAGAAAGGTGACCTCGAGGAGAGGAAAAAAATGAAACTCAAGACTCGACTTCCGATCCTCGGTCTCCTCCCCCCTCCTCTCGACCGATCTTCCCCTCCCCGTTCGCGTCGCCCGTTCTTTCACGTCGATCTTTCACTTTTCTCTCGCTGCCTCGTTCCTTTCGCTTCTCGTTCCCGGCTCGTTTGTTTTCTCCTTTTTTCTCTCCTTTTGTTTAAATTAATGTATAATATGTATAATATAGGTTTATCCGCTTGATTTGACACATGTGATTGAGGTCTCGAGCAAGTATCGCCTGCTGCTTAGCTCGCATCTCACAGCCTAGAGGTGATTTAAACCGGACGCGAGGCCCGTTCACAACGGGACGCAATCGCGAACGACGCTTTCCATGTCCTCCGATGATCGCCCAAACCCGCGGCTGTCTTCTCTCGTCTTCGTTTCGGTTGCTTCCTTTTTCTTTTCTTTGTTAATCTTCGTACTTCTTCCCGCATATATATATATTTTTATTTATTTATTTGTTTATTTATTCATTTATTTATTTATTTATTCGTAGAATTCCGAGGCGAAAAGAGAAACGGAGAGCCTTTCCCTTTTCGCCGAATATCTCTCTCTATCGTATTTATATGTGCACATATGGTCAACCGTGTTCCTGTTATATGCGTGTGTACGTGTTCTCTCCCCGGGCGCGAGCGTGTTGTTCGTATGTGTCTGTCTCTCTGTGGTGTACGTGTGTGTTCTCGTCTACCGTTTCGTTCGAGTAAATACGACATAGTAAAATATTAAAGCGGCAGCAGAGTAAACGCTGCAATACTGGTTCGATCTATGAAAATGACGTCCCGTCGCGTTCTCCCCCGTTCTTCGTTCCTCTTGTTCGCCGCCGATTCTCTCTATATAATTTCGTCCGCTCCGCCTCGTGCCTCGGCCCGTCAAGCTCTCTTTTCTTTTGTAATTATTTCTCTTTTCCCGTCTTTATATCTATCTATTTATGTACAGCGCATTCAGCAGCATCTCATCGCCCGGAACAGCTCTCTCGTCCTCCTCTCGCTTGCTTGCCGTCACGGAACCGCGCGAACCACTCGATACAGAATCGATATACAAAAAAAAAAGAAAAAAAGGAGAAAGACACGACCACGCGAAAGCACACAGCCGGACAGTACGAACCGTTTCTGTTCGACGTTGACGAACGACCACCACTTCTGTCGAAGAAATCTGTACGGCTGAACACTTTCGCGGGCCGGTGTACCTTGATCTCGTTGATCAATGGGAAGTATATATATATATATTTTTTTTTTAGAACATTGTTCACTTCTCTTCTTTACATTTTCAATGTTTCAAGAAGAAAGACGCATCGCACCCGTCGGGATCTCTTGATCGGCGCAGGCATGAAAGTTGACTGCGCGCGACGGCGCATGCGCGGGCCGTCTACCGCGTGAACAACGTCCGTAGAAACCGTCCGCGGCTTCCGCGTCGTCGTCCTAGTTCGGAGCGTTCGCCCGGTAGACGGGCACCGCGCATGCGCCGTCGCGCGCAGCTAAGACGTCTCCGGCGGCCAGGCGCGCCGTGAAAACAATATCTCGAGCGCCGTCGAGTTCGCGCCGATACCGTCTGGCTCCGAACACCGTTAGAAGCGAGAAATCACACCGCGATTTTGTCCGACGCGAGACAGGAGATGCTTCCCCGTTGCCGGAGTTCTCGCGGGCCGAACGATCTGCGCGCGGCTCCGTGATATCAGCATCGTTCCCGGCTGCCCCTCAAATTCCTCGCCGCGAATAAACTTTTCTCATAGTCAACATGTCTCGTATATAAACTATGCAGTGCCGACGCCTATCAGATAGGCAAGTACACATAAAATATATGGTAGTCGACAAGTGAGTAACGTATTAAAATTAGAAAGTACGTGTCGCAACATCGTGGACGATAAGATAGAGGGAGAGAGGGAGCGTCTCGTGAACCTAAGCGTTCCCCGGCGTCCTTTCTTAACAATAAAGTCGTACAGTCGTCGTCCAATATTTGTTTCTTTTTCTTCTGCTTCTTCGTCTCTTTCTGGTCCTCCATCATCCTTGGCGATGTATTGCTTGTTTTTGGATCCGTCCTCTCTTTTCGGCTACACCTGCTTCGACGAGGTGCTTAAAGCTCGCGCGATACCTCCCACGTGATCGCTGGCTATTCGATAAACACGCTGGCGATGAGGTAGATAAAGGGACGAAACTCTTCGACGTCGAGAGTTCACGGTCCCTCGACGATGCTTCTCGCTTTGCGACTCGCTGACGCGTCTCTTTCCCCGGCCGTCTTTACCACTTTTCCAACGTTTTCCGCTCGACGCGGCAAGGTTATGTTCGCTGTTCGCGGCGCCAGCACCCCCTCGACGGAACGACGGTCGGACCTCGAAGTTCGATACAAGTACTCGGAGCATATGGAAATGAAATCGTAAACGGATTAAAGGATACAAATCAATCTCTACGAATTGTATAGGTTAAGTGTAAGATTAAAATCTACGGAGAGATTAAGTACAGACGACGAATCGAGTTGTCGATATCTTGGTTAAACGAATCGAGGGACGATCGACGATCGCCAAAAGTAAGTAAACAATAAACGCTTCGGAGATTGTTTCGGATTCAAGAAGTTCGCTGATATCGATAATATATAATATATAATATATAATATAAATATATAATATATAATATATATAATACCGCTGATCGATCGACTGGCTTCGATCGCCTAACAAGATATTTTTTTTTTTAAATGACAAGTGATGCAGCGAGTCGCATATACAATTTTTTACTCCACCGAAGAAAGGATTCTAGAACGGCTCCGGTTTATCTTTTTCTTTTTTTATCGGCCGGCTTGCGAACAGCGGCGAAGGTTCTCCGAGTTGCTCGACTCTTTCCGGTTTGGATAAACTTTTTTGACTCGTTCACGGACATCGATTAAAGTAGACAGTGACGGTTACAGTTTAAGTCACCCGCTCTACGTGGTTATTACTAATGTTAAAAAGATCTCGCGGTTCGTCGCAACTTCGACCTCCTCTTCGCGCATAAACTATTCAGTCGCGTGCACGTACACGCGCGCGCGCGCGCGCGCTGTGGCGCGATTCGACGAATTCGGAAGTCGCGAGTCAACGGAGGAAGAAAAGAATCGGCGATCGATTATCGTCGAATTCAAGTGAAAATTGTTACGCACACAGAGTGTGTGTGTGTGTGCAAGTCAAATCGAAGTTTTGCGATTAACGAAGTTTTAGCAAACGCTTTTAAATCCCCGCGAATTACGGTTCATCGAATGCCACACATGCCCGCACACATATACGTACATACGATACAATATTCATTTATTTATATTTATATATATATATATATGTATATATACATGTGTATATACATACATATATATATATATATTTATATGTATATACATACATATACATACATATGTATATGCGTATTAGATAGTGCCTATCTAAAATGAAACATGGCTGAGAGAGTCTCGGGCCATGCATGAAACGTGACATGCACACGACACTTAAAACGCGACCGTTCGCTAACGCTATCCTTCGATGAGAGTCGGTTGAGAAGAAATCAAGATGGCGGTCCGGTTAAAGGAAGCCATCGATGCAACGGCCGGAAATCATCGCGCACCTCGATCAAACAGAAGAAGTTCTCTTTTATCGAACAATCTCGAAAATAACAAAAATTCGCAATAAACCGTGATTTTTGTAATTCGTAATAAACCGAGATCAAGAAAAAAAAATTGCAACAAACAGAATTCCAATAGGAGTCCATTTCTTCTATTAATTTGAACAAATTGAGGACGATGGAGAACAACGGCGATCGTAGAATGCTTCTAAAGCCTTTAACGCACGAAACCCGCGGTTATGTCGCAGGTTATGTCGTCGACTTTTGCCAGGCGGTTGCAGCGATGGCCGCCATTAAGGCTGTCGGTGCTCGATCGGCAGTTTCCGGAGGAGGGCCGACCGGTAGGCCATGGACGATAGAAACGCGAACCCAGACGAGGACATCGACGCGCGACAGGTCGGCGATTACACTGGGAGGTGGAAGGGGGGGGGGTGGAAACAAGAAACGAGCTTCAGTCCCGAAGGGGATACGCGTGAACGTCCGCCATGATTCTTCGATCGATCGCGCGCACTCTGTGAGTCGGATGGGAACGCTGCTGGCCGAACCTTTGTTCGCGGGGACGCCGCTAGGATCGACGCGAGTCAAGTATAAAACGGGGGGTGAAGAAGAGTTATCTGTGCGTTATTCAACGTGTTCCTTCTATAGCCTGTTATCCTTCTCTTTTTTTCTCTCTCTCTCCTATTTCGTTCGTCCATCGACGCCGACGATCGGCGGAGTCTCAGTGAGAGAGAGAGAGAAGATTGTCCCTTCGAACTGATCCGAGACAGAGCTGGGCAATTCTTCCACTTGGCAGCGAAATTAAATGGCACCTGAGAGTCTTTAGAAATTTGTTGAAATTTTTTTCAATGAATTATTTAGACACGTTGTTGCTCGAGGAAAAAGATTCGCGTGCAGCGAGCACACTTCGAACGGCGAAAATTTGTTCGAAATTTCGCCTCGCCGTTTAACACTGAACCTACCCGAGCTCTCTGACGAATGGCTAACCTCTCTGCGACTTCTCGCCGTTTCGATCGAAGTTTCAACGATCGAACAAACGAACAAACCAATGGGGACCACCGATCATTTTCGACCGGCGCGGTAGATTCAGTGTTGAGGTTGTGAACTACGGCGAAGAATGAGAAATCGGTTTCTAGATATTTCATTGGTTTTTCTTTTCTTTTCCAGAGTGTTTGGGTCGACGACGAGGTTTGCCCATCTCTGCTACGAGAATCTCTCTCTCTCTATATATATATATGCATCGATGGCGGAAATTAAACACCATCGATAATTTGTTCGCGGTATAATGCTGAGAGAGAATTCTCTTGTCTGACGCGTTCGCGACGCCGTGTAGATACTTCGCTTAAGTAGTTTAGGTACTGATACATTAATAATACTTTAAGAATTCTCCGGCGATATAGTGTACACCCGGTAGGCTCGATATAGATCTACGTCTCTGTACAAGAATACCTAGGTTTAAGTTCCTTAACATGTTACGTCGCTGCGAGGCGCATTAGACTTTCCCCTAAACACGTTTAGAGCTCTATTGCTGGTTTATCTCTGAGACAACGATACGACAATTAGAACTTTCGACCTTGGAACGACACCCGACACATTCTACCCACAATTCTCCATTGGAAAACAAACGGACGCGCGCGATTTCGCGAAACAAATATTCCCCGTCCCTGGAATATTATATAATATACAATACCGTCCATCACAACACTATCGGTTCTGGAAACGTCGTTTTAAAACAAAAAAAAAAGAAAACAGAAAAAACGAAAAAAGAAACAAAAAAACTCTATCGACGATTCATTATCGCGTTGAACTCGAGAAAAATCGTTCGAGACATCGACGAATTGTCACGTCATTTCGGGTCGAACTAACCTAACCCTGTGCGCCGAGTGATCGACATAAAAGGGCGCGTTTACAGTCGAGAGCAAAGGGCGTCGCCGATGGTCGTTCCACGGCCTGAACGATTACAGAGTCACGATCCTCGTCGCACTCGTTCCAACTACGTTTTTTTTCCATTTTGTTTTAGTTTAGCTTGAACGTAATCCTAACATCAAGACTGTGGCAGTAATATACTTTTCTGAAGACGTCGCCGATGACCGCTTTCCGGTTTGGTCGTGACCCGGGCAACTTTCGTCGTTCGCTGAGGCAAGATCGACGGGGCCACCGCCCGTCTTCCGGGGATTCGTGGGAACCGGATGGGAGCTCGAATCCCGTCGCGTGGTCGGGGGGGCGCGCGTACGCGTTCGCACGTCCACGCGAGCGAAGTTCGCGCGCGGCAGCGTTCACGGGCCGAACATCCGGCGCGGCGCGCATGCGCGTTCGCACGTCCACGCGAGCGAAGTTCGCGCGCGGCAGCGTTCACGGGCCGAACATCCGGCGCGGCGCGCATGCGCGTTCGCACGTCCACGCGAGCGAAGTTCGCGCGCGGCAGCGTTCACGGGCCGAACATCCGGCGCGGCGCGCATGCGCGTTCGCACGTCCACGCGAGCGAAGTTCGCGCGCGGCAGCGTTCACGGGCCGAACATCCGGCGCGGCGCGCATGCGCGTTCGCACGTCCACGCGAGCGAAGTTCGCGCGCGGCAGCGTTCACGGGCCGAACATCCGGCGCGGCGCGCATGCGCGTTCGCACGTCCACGCGAGCGAAGTTCGCGCGCGGCAGCGTTCACGGGCCGAACATCCGGCGCGGCGCGCATGCGCGTTCGCACGTCCACGCGAGCGAAGTTCGCGCGCGGCAGCGTTCACGGGCCGAACATCCGGCGCGGCGCAGCGCGCGTGCGCGATGCGCGTTCGCGTTCGTCGGCGTGGATCTCGGCGCGCTATCCTAGGCTAGCCTAAGTCTCACCTATAAGCGGCAGAATTATACATATACAATATCCGATATGCGCGCGTCGCATCGGCCGCGGGGCGACTGCGACGCGCGCATACCCCATTATACCATACACTCTCTATAACGACGATGCGTGTAGAAAAATGAGCCTCTCGCGTCTTTGGTTAAACGCGAAGCATTTAGAAAGTATTCTGGCAGTGGTTTCGTAGATGCTTCGATCTTAGCCTCGGACCAAAAATTTTGATTTCAGTTTCAACAGGAAATTCAATAATTAGAATCGTAGCGACCTTTTTTCATCGGCTGGTTTTCTTGCTCTTTTTCCTTTTGTACTCGGGTCTCGGTTCTTTCCTCGTCGGTGCAGCTCTTTGCGGAAAATCTTTCTCTCCTCCCTCGTCGTCTTTCCTCCTCGCCATCTTCGTCGTAACTCTCTTTTCTTTTTTTTTTTCTTTCACGCGACGAAGCAACAACGTACGATTCGATGGTGAACCGATCAATCCTTTGGAAAGTGTCGAGTTCGTGTGCCGGTCGTCCGTGTTTTTTTTTCTTTTTCCCCTCTTTTCTTTGCTATCTGTTTTTTTTTGGTGTCACACGGAGACAGAGAGAGCGAGAGAGAGAGAGAGAAAGAGGAAGAGAGTGAGAAGAGAAAGAGAAAGAAAGATAGAGAGGAAGAGAAAAAGAGAGAGAGAGAGAGAGAGAGAGAAAGAAATTTTCTGGGTTCGTTCTTGCTTTCATCGTGTTTTTTTCTCTTTTTTTGTCGTTTTCGCTCCTCCTTTTTTTGTTGTTGTTGTTGTCGTGTGTATACGGATTAAAACCACTTGTTGTCTATCTCATCGAAAAAAAGGGACGAGTGTAAATAAGATAGATCCTACGGTTACGATCCTAGTTTACGTGTGAAGTTCATTATCATTTTTTTTGTTCTTTTTGCTTTTGTCGATTTTAAAAGGAAACTTTTATATCCTTTGGCATGTCACTTTTGGCCTTCTTCGACGGTGGTCGCGCCTCGGAGCGAGCCTACTTAAACGCGCGATTTTATTTATTTATACTCGATCCGAGTCGACCGTTGTTGTCCGCGGAATATAACCGCGCGCGTCCACGTTCGTGCGCGTTGCTCCTTTTGTATTTTTGTTCGGTTTTTTTGTTCCGTCTCCTCGCGACTTTTGCTTCTGCCTCCGGTTTTTCTTTTCTTCTTTTTTTATCCGTTCTTTGTTGTTCCGACCGGTGACCGTGTGTACGAATGTATGTGCGTGCGTGTGTGTGTGTGTGTGTATGTATGTGTCGCGTGTAAATCTCTCTCTGTATTTATGTGTGTATGCGTGTGTGTAGCGCAGTGTACGTGTTCGTGTGTATCGTGGGTTTTATGTTAATGTTCACAACGCGAAACGCAAGTGACTGCTCAGACAATGGCACAAGAGCAACGTGTTCCTTAGGGTGAAGTCGTTTAGGTCTTTGAGAAGTAAACTAGATTTCTGCTTTTGCGAGGCGGTTACTTCGATCCATCCCGGTTTAGTTCACGAGTAGATGGTGATCACCTCCCGGCCGCCACCGCGCACCATCAGCACCCTCTCCAGACCCTCGGTGAGAACCTCCAGGAATTCCATGTCTGGTTCACGGTCGTCAAGGACATATCAAAGAAAATCAGTGAGCATCTTGAAGACCCTCGAACAAGAAGATAGCATTAGGCTCGCGATGAGTCAGCTATCTTTCAACCCTTTGCACTCGAGCGGTGACTCTGAGGCACCATTAAAATTGTTACATCACGTTTCAAGGTAATTTTTATATGATAAAAGCTTAGATGTAAACAATTGTTAAAAGTCCAATTGTTGTATGAGTCACAAGACTAAATTTCATACGCATGAAATGCACTTTATCATATAAAATGGAAATACTATAATATATAAATAATAATAAATAATAATAAATAATATATAAAATGGAAATACTATATACAAGTCAGATAAATTAATTTAGATTTACAGTTGAAATGGCTTCGAGTGCAAAGGGTTAACACGTTGGCTTTGCTGCTTTCTAAAAGGAGTCGCATCTGCTTCAAGGATAGCATGCTCGCGATCATCCGAGGACAATGCTACGGTTCAACTGACGATTCCGTAGAAAAGGATACAGTTTGATTCACGTTCCATTTTGGTGTCCCGCGGCGGCCCAGGCAGATTGAGAATGACTAACTGAGCGTCATGGCTCTTGTTGACGATCACTTCGTTCAGCTTCACGGAAGTGTGCATACGCCTCACGTCGCCCTCGTCACTGAAATTTGCGACACACAGATATATTAACGTTTTAGCAAAGCGAAGAATTTAATAAACATTATAATGCGGCTCTTATTCTCTTTGACCGCCACGCTAACGACCATAAGAATTTCATAAAATTGCACCGTTCGATTCGGTTGGACAACAATTGAATTTCTTCAGCGTTCTTACATTTTGCGGATCCTAATAAACTTAAGAAGCTACAATGTATTTGAAATTGATTTATAATTGAAATATAGGCTGACGTGGCAGCCAAAGTGTAAACAATTGCCAAGTTCGACGACCGGACTGCAAATTTGTCTGCAAATTAAAAGATTGTTTACGTTAATTGCGTGGAAACTAAGAGACAGATACAAAATGTTCTTACTCATTTAACAATTTTCACAAGTTGTACACGATGCAACATTATTCTCTGTCCACTCGACTTTATGAAAAAGTAGCTTAGTCTATTAGGAATATTATTATTATTATATTATTATTATATATTAATTAATAATAATATAATATTATTATTAGTATATTAATCTATTAATAAATAAACTAAGCTACTTTTTCATAAAGTCGATTATTAGTTATTATTAGTCTGTCAGCTTATCGATGACGTACGGTGTGATGGTAGGTTTCTTCGCCTCGGGCGCCTCCTTCTCCTCGTTCTCCTTCGCCTCCTTCTCCGTGTTCTCCCTGTTATCCTGCTTGGGCGAACCGCCGATCAGCTGGGACTGCTCGTCGTTGGCGTCCTTCGCGTCCCCGGCCGCCTGGTTGCTGTCGCCGGGCTCGGCCTCCTTGGCGGCCTCCGCCTCCTGCGCCGGCTCCTGGCTGCCCGGCTCCTGGAACCTGACCTTGGTCGGCACCTTCACGTCCACGTTGTGGTGGTGGTCGACGATCGCCTGCACCTGTGTGCCCCACGAGAACCGGTGTCAGTGGCGTAGGCTCGGCCGCGGCGTGACCCGAACAGCATTATGAGACAGTCAAAAGTGTGTCGAGAGACGACTAAACTCTAGCGTCAAAGCACTCTATATGATGGTTGCCGAACAAAATGACCACTATGTAAGCATTCCGGGGTGAACGTGCCAATCAAGCTGAAACTGGAGCCTTGCTCGGGAGAGTTCCAGAGAGTCGATGCACCGGGTGGTCCCGGGGAAACGAGAAATCGCCACGGGGGAAACGGTGCGCAGTGAAATTGCTTCGAACGGGTCCCCGTTGTACTCGCGGATTCACCGTTCGCACTCGACGCCATCTTCCCACGAAATTCAACATTTTTCCACATTTTTCCACATTTTTCCGGCTTACGGTATTTCCGTTTTATACGACTGTCTTTTATACTGTCGTTTTTTTTCGATTGTCGGTGCATATTATGCGTACGATATTGAATTTTGTGACATAACCTTGACATAACCTAAACAGTTTGATGACAATTCGATAACAATTTTTAGCGGTGCCTCGGAGTCACCGTTCGAGTGCAAACGGTTAATAATTTAGTCGATTTTCAAGAAAGATTCCTTCGCGGTAATTTCCGTTAGACCTGCGTTTCCATTAGCAATTATTTTGCTCCATTTTCGACTTTCGGTAAAGGCTAGATTGTCCTACTGGCCACGACGGGAAATTCTGTTAAAAAATATTGCGGTTCTATTTTGATGGAAACAAGGCTTCATCCACTCTTGAAAAATGCGCAGGGACGAACTGTGGAGAGAAACGTACATCGAAATTCTCTAGAGGGCTAGGTTATGTGACCGACGATGCCCGATACTGTGCAGTTTTTCTCAAGACATTTCAACGTTTACCTGGGACACCCGGTATACACGAGATGGAGCACTTAAATGAAAACGCTTGAACATCTCCATTCCTTGCAGTCGTACAAAAGAAATCCTTAGAACTGGATCATGCTATCTCGAGAGTCACTTGTACAAGAAAAAGCTAGTTTTTTTTAAAATAAAATTTCAAGCTCTGTAAAGCATCGATATAGATCACACGTTAACTATAACTGTATTTCAATTTTATTAATTGTAATTGCAATACTATAACTGTATTATAATTAATAATAATTGTAATTGTAATACTATAACTATATTATAATTAATAATAATTGTAATTGCAGTACTATAACTGTATTATAATTAATAATAATTATAACATTACAATTGTAGGAATATACTGCATTTATGTTAAGTTGAATCATCGACAGTTCTGTGGAGCACGAACTGATAATATTCGATGATCCGTTGCATTTAGGAAAATGAATCGAATACAATAAATAATAAATAACCGTACGAGCCATCTTGAACGACCACAGCGAACGGTATAGTTCGGGCGATCCCATTCGCGCGCCCCACCCCGTTACATGAACGCGTTACACAGATATGAATATTGTAATACATGTAATCATGAGCAAGAAAGCAAACTGGTGGAGGCTTCGATTAGGGAAGAAGTTTTCTGATTCGATGCTGTAACTGATGACGGTGCGTTTTGTTATTCAGCATGGAGTCACCTCCATGAGTTCAGTTTCTCTGGATGAGTTACAAACGAGGGGGGTCATGGTGGGGCGGTAGGGGG